GGCCACTCTATCCCCACCCCTCATGGCCACTCTATCCCCACCCCTCAGGACCACTCTATCCCCACCCCTCAGGACCACTCTATCCCCATCCCTCATGGCCACTCTATCCCCACCCCTCATGACCACTCTATCCCCACCCCTCAATTCTTCCCATTTGGCCTCTTGTGTTCCCTACACTTCCATGACATTGGACTCTGCCAGTCAGATGTGTGGGTGCCTCACCTCTGTCTCTCATCTATGACTCCTTCAAGCTTCAGAGCCTCCCCAAAGATGGTTTCAGGAGCTTAGGCAGGGAGTCCTGCCAGAATGTCTGAAGACAATATCAACATGAAAATGGAGGTGGGGTCTATACAATCTCTGTCACCCTAGAGCAGTGGTCCTCAACCTTCCTACTGCCGTGACCCTTCTATACGTTTTCTCATATTGTGGTGACTCCCAACCATAAAATGATCTTCATAGCTACTTTAAAATGCAATTTTGATGCCAGGCGGAGGTGGCACAGGCCTTTAATCCCAGCACTTGGGAGACAGAGGCAGGTGGATCTTTGTGAGTTCAAGGCCTAGTCTACAAGAGCTAGTTCCAGGACAGGCTCCAAAGCTACAGAGAAACCCCATCTCAAAAAAACCCAAAATGCAATTTTGATATTGTTATGAATGTAATGTAAACATCTGTGTTTTCTGATGGTCTTAGGTAACCCCTGTGAAAGGGTCATTCAACCCCCAAAGGGGTTGCGATCCACAGGCTGATAGTCACTGCCCTAGATTAAAGGGGTCTCAAAACACAGTCCTTCCTAGCTGGGGAGATGGTTCAGTGGGTAAAGTATTTGTCACATGAGGATGACGACCCAAGTTCAGTCCCAGCACCTGCGAATAAAGCTAGGCATTGTGGTGTGGGTCTGTAACTCAGGCGTTGAGAGGCAGAGACAAGAGGACCCCAGGCTCACTAACCAGCTACTGTAGCCAATACCTGAGCTTCAGGTTCAGTGTGAGCTCTTGACCCTCGGGTTTGGGGTGACAGGAGGGTAGACTTTAGAGGTGCCTTTGAGAGATGCTGAAGCCTGGCTCTACACAGCATCTCCACCCACAGATTCCCACGCCTTCATACTTAATTCCAGTCAGTCAGGTTGCTGCTGGGTCTTATGTTGGTGCCTGAGGTCACTGGATGGTGACAGGGACCCAGGCTGACCAACAGGCAGAAGGCAAGAGCCTGTCCCCTTCCCAGTTACTTCACTGTGAGGCCCAGAGCAAACACTGTTCCTAATTAGTCCCACTAATGACAACAGCAAATACTGATTAGGTCTTCGTGTCAGACACTGTGTTTAATGACTTCCGAGAAACATCTCATTTAATAAGCCGAAAGCAGGGCTGTGCTTGTGCCTCTAAGCTTGACCTACTATCAGAAATCCACCTTTACAGCTGACACAGTGGCACACACCTTTAATCCCAGCCCTTGGGAGGCAGAGGCAGGTGGATCTCTGAGTTCGAGGCTAGTCTGCTCTACAGAGTGAGTTCCAGGACAGCCAGGGATATATAAAGAAAACCTGTCTTAAAAAAAGGAGGGGGGAGTTAGAGAGATGATGGTTCAGCAATTAAAAACACTGCTCTTCCACAGGATCCGGGTTTAATTTGTAGCACCTACATGGCAGTTCACAACTGTCTGTAACAGTTCTAGGGGATCTGACACCTTCACACCAATGCACATAAAATGAATTTAAATAAATAAACAAACAAATAGAAAACAAAGAAATACAGCCATCTTTGCATCTGCTGTGCCTTCACTGTGGTTTGCTGGTTGGTGGTTTTGGATCTCATATATCCTACTCAAATTCGCTGTGCAGGGGCTGGAGAGATGGCTCAGTGGTTAAGAGCATTACCTGCTCTTCCAAAGGTCCTGAGTTCAATTCCCGGCAACCACATGGTGGCTCACAACCATCTCTAATGAGGTCTGGTGCCCTCTTCTGGCCTGCAGGCATACACGCAGACTGAACATTGCATACATAATAAATAAATAAATAAATAAATAAATATTTAAAAAATAAAAAAAAACAAATTAGCTGTGCAGCTGTTAATGGCCTTATCCTGACTCAGCCTTGCATGGGCTGGGATTGCAGGTGTACACCACCATGACTGGTTTTATGCTGTGCTGAGGATGGAACCCAGGGTTTTATGCATGCTAGCCAAGTACTCAGCCACATTTGGGTGGGATTTTTGTTTTAATTAATTTATTAATTTAAATTAATTAGTTTAATTTATTAATTTAGTTATTTTGTATATGTGTGGTGCTGGAGATGGACCCCAGGACCTTATGCCTATTAGGCAAGTATTCTCTTTGTTTTTGAAACATGGTCTCCCCAGGCAGGCCTCCTCTGCAGCCCCAAACTTATTGTTGTACCCAAAAGCTGTATTTTATTGCCTGTAAATGTTTATCAATGAGTTGCACTACAAGTTGGTGAGCTGGGGGCTGGGGGCTGGGGTGGGGGTTCAGTGATAAAGGATTGGAGTGATATCCCTCTAAGCCCTGTGCCCTGCACTAGTCCCCAGGGCCAAAACAAAAAACCCTGGGAGAAAGATAGGATGAAGCAGGAAGGAATGGAGGAAGGGGTCTAGAAGTCAATAACAGTCTCAGATATTTGAAACAGTAAGATCTCTCCTGAGATTTTGACCCTTATTTTGCTAGATCTAAGTTCCTGGTCACTGGGCAGGTCATGTTTGAGAACCTAGCCTCTCTTTTTCTCTCTCTCTGTTCCTTTTTGCTATTGCCCCCCCCCCCCCGCCACAAGCTGTTATTATTTTGAGATAGGATTTCTTTATATAGCTGTCTGGGCTAGAAGTGCTATATAGATGAAGCTGACTTCAAATTCACAGAGATCCTCCTGCCACATCCTCTAGTGTTGGGATTAAAGGCATGTGCCACCATACCTAGCTATTTCTATGTATTCATTTTTTTCTTGCTAGATGCTTTGATCACATCCTTCCCCTCCCCCAATTCCTCCCACCTTTTTACTCACCCAGCTTCATATTCTTTCTTTCTGCCTTAGCAAAACAAAACCCAAAAACAGAAAATCAAAACAACCCAAAAAACCAATAAGACTACAGACTGTGGTAGCACACTCTATTAATCCCAGTTCTAGGCCAGCCTTGGGCTCTTACTTTCTCAAAAAGCAGGTGCTGGAGGGATGGACCAGTGTTTTCTGCACCAGGTGGCAGTGGCAAATGCCTTTAATCCCAGCACTTTGTAGGAGGAGGCAGGAGGATCTCTGTGAGTCCAAGGCCAGACTGGCTCCATAAACTAATGGAAACCCTGCCTCGAAATACCCAAACAAACAAACAAAAACTAACAAACAAATAAACAAAACTAGACTAAACTAAGTAAAAAAGCACACACAAAAAACCCATGGAGCCTGTTTGTGTTGGCCAGTGGTATTCCACTGAAGGAAACTGCAGGTCAGCAGATATCAACTGTAAATAGCTTCTCGGGTAGAGGTGACACTTGGCGCCCACTTTCCCTTGTCAGTGCTGAGATTTTGTGGGTGGCATGTGTGCATGGGTGGTATTACAGCCCTGTTGTGTCTGGAAGACACTGTTCCTTTGGAGTTATCATCGCAGCTGACTCTTAGAATCTCTCTATCTCCTCTTCTGCCTTCTGAGCCTTCAGGAGGGTTTGTGCACACAAATGCAGGTGTATAAGGAGGCCACCTGGAGCTGGAGTTACAGGCTGTTGTGACATCTGCTGGGAATGTAACACAAGTCCCCTGGAGGAGCAATAAGCACTCTTTTTTTTTTTTGTATGTTTGTTTTGTTTTGATTTTCAGGACAGGGTTTCTCTGTGTAACAGCTCTGGTTATCCTGGAACTCACTCTGTAGATCAAGCTGGTCTCGAACTCACAGAGATCCACCTGCTTCTGCCTTCCAAGTGCTGGGTAAAGGTGTGGGCCACCACCACCTGGTGCAGTAACCATTTGGCCATCCTTCCAACACCTGCATCACTTTTTGAGAAAGTGAAAGCCCAAGCTGGCCCGGAATTCGCTATAACTCAGGCTGGCTCCAACCTTACAATCAACCTCCTGCTTCAGCCTCCTGAAGAACTGGGAAAACAGGTGTAGTTGTCAACCGGGTTTCTCTGTAGTTTTGGAGTCTGTCCTGGAAGTAACCTAGGCTGGCCGCGAACTCACAGTGATCTGCCTGCCTCTGCCTCCCGAGTGCTGGGACTAATGGTGTGCACCACCACCGCCTGGCTTGTAGTTGTCAATACTTACAAGGGTCTTTTCTCACATGTCTCTGTGACATTCTTCATAGGTCATCCTAGTGCTGGGCATCTGCAGGTGAGTTATATACTTGGTGAGTTGATTGGATTTGGGCAAAACCCGGACAGTCTGTCAGGTACCAGACAGAATGATGTCCAAGGCTCCGGAGGGGGAACGGTCACTCTGTTTTATAAGGGGAGGGAAATGACAGCTAGAAACAGAAAGGGGAAAGGGAACAGAAACAGCAGACAAGATGAAATAGGGTGCAGGGGGCTGCCCGGGCATGTCAGTGCCAGTAGCTCAGGGCTGCCTCCTCCCAACGGGTCCAGTGCCAGACTGGTGGGAAGCTGGGCCAGGTGTGCGTGTTCATGAGTGTATCCCACCATCGGGCCACTTAGCAGGACAGGAACCTGTCACAGGAGTGACTTTGTGAGCACAGGTCAGGGGTCAGTTTCTTCTGGGTCGGATTTAGTCTGTGGAGCGTCACTCTCCTAACCAGCTAGAGCAATCTTGTGGGTGTGTTTTAGGGATGTCAGTCTGGGGGTGCCGTGTGTGTGTCTGGCGGGACCTGGCAGGAAGCTGTTCTGAGGTGTGGTGTGACTGTTGTAGGCACCTTGGGACAGGGTTTGTGAGTCTGAGCCGGCTGGAGCATTGTTTGTGAAACTATGTGTGGGGCTGTCCCTGTCCCTGTGTGTCCCTGTGAGCTTGTGTGTGTGTGGGCGCTTAATCTGGGTATCTGGGGCCGGGGGTGATGAGCTTGTGAGTCCAGGCCCTTGTCCCACGTGTGCATCTATGCCTGTGGCCAGGTATCTGACTTTGTGTCCCTGTGACTCAGTCAGCAGTAAGGTGCACCCGTGGGTCAGCCTGAGAGCGTACTCCTTGGGTGTGGGTGTGGGTCCCAGTCAGTGTGTCAGTGTGTCAAGTGTGTGTCTGGCCACCCAGGGTCTGGGCTGTCCCCACGGTGCTCCTCCTGCCCTGGTCAGGCCTTGCCCCGCCTCTCGGCTGCAGGGAAACCCCCCGCGCGGAGGTAGGGGGCGCGGCGCCCGCCTGCAAGCCCCGACTTGTCCCCGGCCGCGGGCGGGGCCCCGGCGTC